GTGGCATTTTCGCAAAGCAAATATGAAGGTGTGGCATTTTAAATTCAGATCGAGATTATAGTATTCTAACAAATAGATCAGTTCAAATATACCTGAACAGCCCGAAGAACAGAATCCGAGACAGAGGAAAGAGGAGTATTAAGATGGCCATCGTCCCATTCGCCACATCTCGTCTCGCCATTTCTGAAAGTATACATACCAAAACCTTGCTTTCGCCCCTCGTGCCACGACCCTTCATAACAGTGCCCATTTGCAAATCGGTACACTCCAAAACCGTGGATTTTGTCTCCAAAATACTCCCCACCGTATCTATCCCCATTCCTATAATTATCAACACGGCCCAAATTGTATCACTACTCCAACAAGGCATCAAAAGTGTGTACAACTTCAAAGAGATTTCTATAATTTCTTCATCAAGTTAACCTTTTTCATTAGCTGAAGGTGAAACGCCAACTAATCGACTAGCAAGACACGACATCAAGATTGATCACTTATCGTAAGTTGGCATTGAATTATTAAATAATGTTAAGGGGGAACTGAATAATTAGATTGCCTAATTAGGGCCACACCACCACCTAACACTTGGATTTGCTGCACAAAAGTAATAATTCTACGTTCCGATAGATACTTTATTTCTTAAGCACCTAAAATCCATTATTTTCGAATTAAAGCATATGGAAATTGACCGTAATAATTAACACAAGAGAAAAAACTAAACAAAAAGTAATAATTTTCAAATACTAGCAGACAATAGATCCACATTATCTGGCAAATTGAATACATCTATTCTTCCTTCAACAGCTTCAAAAGGAAGAAGGAAAACCGAAAAAGGGTAAAGAAATTATTCATCTCTTTACACTTTAACCCTTTTTTTCTTGAAAGGGAAAAATCAATATTCATCTCTAACCCCATCAAATTCAAGAATCATTAATCATCACACAACAAAATAAAATTATTCAAGAACCACAAATTATACTAAATTCAAGGTGAATTAATCTAATCATCACCTGAAATGGTAACAGCCAAGGCCATGTTTGACTCCACACTTGAACTCCCCAACATAAGAGCTCCCATCAGCACATGTCTGAACTCCAATCCCATGGCTCTGCCCATTACGCCACTCGCCGGCGTAAGTGTCCCCTGTATAAAACCTATAAACACCATATCCATGCCTCAAACCATGCCTATACTGCCCTTTGAATCGACTCCCTCTCGCCCAGCTCTCGATCCCGAAACCGTCATACTTCCCGTCCACCCAGTCTCCTTCATACCTCCCATTAATCATATAATTGTACACTCCACTCCCATTGCACCTCCCACCATGAAACTCCCCCTCGTAGAAATCTCCATTGCTGTAAAACTCCACACCTTCTCTAGTAACCTTCTCGAAACGGATGCTCTGGTGTTTTCTTTCGATTTCGTCCGGGTTTGGATCTCCTATGAACCATTGAACCGAATTTGTGGGAGTCTTGGATGCAAAACAGTAAAGACTCAATCTTTTAGCGTGCTCGTCGACAAACTGCTTGCAGAAGCTGAAAGTCCGGTTGAGAAAATCCCTGTTCTGGGAGGCGAAAAACAGGAAAACGGCGACGAAAATCAAGGACAGGAGCAGATTCTCGGAGGTGGAGGCGTCGTCCCAGACGAGAAAGGCGAAAATCGTGTACGCCGGAAGGAAGATTAAGAGGGCGAAAATGGGTCCGAAACGAGAGGCACTCGGTCGAACACGTGGCGTGCAGGGTTTGGAGTGGGGCTTCTGCTCCTCCAGGTCCCGCGAGATCTCGGCCGCGAAAGGCGAGCTCTGCCCCGGCAGACGGTAGGTGGGGGATGACCGGAGTAGGGAGGATTGGTTCCTGCTGAGCCTCGACTGGCCCTTTTGGCCGTCCATTTCGTAAGGGTGGCCGTTGCTAGTCCAATCTCCGCCGTTGGTCGTTTTCTTCTTCTTCTTCTTTCTTCTTCCTTTTTTTTATCTTTTGTATGCTTCTAGCTGGCCAAGCTCCTGTGTATAGATACTCCTATCTTGAACGCCGGCTCGGGCTTCATCTCCGGTGAGGCGCAAGTTAAGCAGCGGTGAGCAAGGGATGCGGCGCAGGTTAGCACAATTGTGAAGAGAAAAATAAGAGGGAAAACTGCGTGCGCGTGAGAAAGAGAGAGAATGGAGTTGGGAAATGTTGATGCGAACCGGTTCATATGCTTGCTCAGAGGTCCCGATTTATCACGGAAAGGCAGATTGGTGGGGCCCACTTCTGTTTGATACCAACCGTTGATTGCAGATCGTTCGTGGATAAATTGGCCCAGCGTTGGTGGCCGTTGGATGAGAATAATCCAATATTTGGGCCTTTTTTGGCCTTGCTTCTCGTTTTTCCTGCGTTGGGATCACGGAGTCTTCTCATTTTTTAGCGGCTATTATTATAGTATTATTATTATTACTATTATTCTGAAATAATATGCATCGTAAGTAGTGCTCCTTTGACATTTTAATACATTTTAAACTTTTATATATTTATTTTTTATTTATTTAATTTAAATTCTTGAAATTATAAGGGCGTCTCCAATGGTTAGCTATTTGGCTAACTATTATGACGTGGACATGGGAAAAGTAAGAGAGAGAGTAGTCACTAGCTACTAACAAATAGCTTATCTATTTCACGTAGCCCAA